ATAAATATTATGTTTATTGATTTATTTATTATTATTTAGAACTTTATAATGACCGAAACCCTCACGAGCGTGTGTACGTGGTTTTAATGATGCACACGGTTGTGTGGTTTTAATGATGCACACGGTTGTACATGCGTTTAAAACAAAAAACTACATTTGACCATCGAAAATTAGAAAATATAAAATGTATAATACAAAAATTATATATATTTGTTCTTGAACCACAATCACCCATATACATGATATACTAAACAGAATACATACATATGGTTGTGTATGTATGTGTGCATGTATATTCATTTGTACTAAAAATAACATGGATTTATACAAACTAGAGGAAGCCCACCCGCATCGGTTGAGTGAGTTTGAACGGGTCTGCCACTGGTTGGATTTTTTTTTAACATATTAACATTCTGCTTTCATTTCATCCTAATTCAATGTAAAAGTCCATCCCATTACAGTAGCATAATCTAAGTTTTAAACTACATTGCTTTAATAACCCGGGTGTAACGCTTGCAGATTCGGGTTAGTCAATTTAGAGATAATAAGCGTCAAAAAAAACTTTTTAATAGAAGATTATTTAGAATAAATAATATTAACCAAGTTTTTGTATATGTCACAAGGGTTTCGTACATATAAAGAACGCCAAAGTCCGAGTTATAACTAAGAAGTTATGACCTATCGAAGTTTTACGGCAAAACCGACATGACAGCGGAAATCATAAAAAGTAAATTTTTGATAAACTACTTTTAAATCCATTATTTTCATAAATTTTTATAATGAAATTTAGAATGTACCACTAAAAACATGATATAGTGGCAAAAAAATGTCAATAAAACATTATGCTACTAAATGTCATTTAGTTTGTAGTGTTCACTTAGTTTTTGTTGACACTTGTTTCTTTGTTTTGTGGCTTTTACCTTGTATTGGAACAAGTAGCATGATATGATGGTCGGGTGCGTATTGGGGGCTTATGGGTGGTTACATTCCAGTTTATGTCTTAGTATTGATACAAACTGGATATGACATTGAGTTTTCATAACACTTGTTTTTGAGAACTTAATTTAGATTGGTTTCATGAAATTCAAAATAAGAATTATGCTAACTTATTTTGTTAAATAAATGCTTTAAAAAAGTGGGTGAAAAAATCATGGCGTTATATTAAGGTATTAAGAGCTTAATGAAAGCTTACTGAATATCCAATATTAGTGACGCGACCATTAGGGTGTCACAACGCGAGTTGGGATAGTCAGTCGCGACTGTTTTGTCTTTGAGCTTTCATGACACGGCCAAGGAGCTGGCCATAATACGGTTGATTGTTGACTTTGACAAGTTAATCAGTGACCATTTAAGTTTTGAAGATTTGACTTTTGGTCAAAACTTTCAGGAAGTAAGCTATAAACTGAGGTTTAACATCTTATTGTAACCTAGGTTGTTCGTATTGTTGATATGTTCGATTATACGTGTGTGTTGGTTCAACTCTTTGATTCATGTGACCAGATCTTTTTGTATCCAATGTAGTAGGTTGGATAAGTATTAATAGGGTACGACTGTATCTTTAAGTTGCTTAGTTTGTTTGCTTATTATGTGTTGGATCCTAGGGTAAGTTGGCTATAAGCCTTCAAGCGAACTATGATGGTAACTAGAAGTTTAATAGATATTTAGGATGATGGTTTTGTGCCTATAGGCCTACTAAGGCGTTTATTATGAATTGATGATGGCTCGAAGTTTAATATCTCTTTGGGATGATGTCCTTATGCTTATAGGTTCACTGAGGTGTTGATGATGGCTGGAAGTTTAATATCTCTTTGGGATGATCTCCTTATGCTTATAGGTCCACTAAGGTGTTGACTATGAGTATTGCATGTATGCACTCAATATGTAATGTAATATATGATAATTTGGAAAACTCATTAAACTTTAACTTACAGTTGTTGATTTAATGTTTTTCAGATGGTTCCTTTGATCGGGGAAAGACTCCAATTTGATTGGACTTTACGCGCATCACTAATAATTATGTTTTGATTCCCGATGTTTCAAATACATAAATGGTTTTGTGACATTAATTCCTAGTATTCTATCTTTATGGAAAAAATGAATGTTATATTTATGTTTAAAAAAATTGGTTTTAAACATGGAACCTTACATTGAACACTTTGAAAAAGTTCTATATCAATAGAAATTATTTGATGAAAGATTTTAATTATATTAATTATATTAAACTATTTTTTATGATATTAGTTAATTGCAAAACTCAATGATTTGACTCACTTACATCTCTACATCTAATGTTCCGATTAATGGGTTTTTAAATGACCCATTAGTTTTATACTTCGAAAGAGATTTTCCGAAAAAATTAGTTTAGAGGAGATTGTTCCAAACTTTAAAAACACAAAAAGTCAAGGTGTTCAAATTTGATAAGTGATGCAAAATTATTTTGTTAAAATTTTGATGTCATATCCTTGAATCAAATTAAAATAGTATTATACGTTTTTTTATTTATTTTATTTATTTTTATTTTTTATTTATATTTTGGTTCAGCTCTCCCTAAGTGTCTATTGTTCATGTTCAGCCTTGATATTAGTTGTATTTATCAACTTTATTTATTAATGAGGATTAATAACATTTTAATTTTCTTAAAATTTAACAACTTTACAATTTAAATCTCCGACTAAAATTCGACCACGGCTCTCAAGTTCTAGAAATTAAGTTGAGTGACGTCAAAAATTCAATTTGATCTAAAAGTGCAGATGCGTGTTATCAAAGGGACCAAACCTGTAACTTAGTATAATGATATAAGGGAACGGTGTAGATCAGCCTTAACCTAGTTTTCATCGAGATACGAAGAAGTTACCAATCTAATGATCTAATCCCCAGACTGTCGCACATCCGCCATACATATACCACCGGCGATCAACTATGACGATTCCGATTGCCGACATCGATCCTGGCTCCCACATCCTGGTTTTCCCTTACCCAGCCCAGGGACATATGCTATCACTTCTTGATCTCACCCATCAACTAGCCATCCGAGGCGTATTCATCACAATTCTCGTCACTCCCAACAATCTCCCCGCTTTATCCTCTCTCCTCGCTGCCCATCCAACTACCATCACCACCCTCGTCCTCCCATTCCCACCACACCCCTCCATTCCCTCCGGCATCGAAAATGTCAAAGACCTACCAGCCGGTGGCTTCAAGTCCATGATGGTGGCCCTAGGCGATCTACACAACCCCCTTCTCGATTGGTTCCACAATCACCCTACCCCGCCGGTAGCCATCATCTCCGACATGTTTCTTGGATGGACTCATCACCTCGCATGCCAGCTTGGCATCCGCCGTTACACCTTCTCTCCATCTGGTGCGTTAGCTCTTTCCGTTATCTTTTCCTTGTGGCGCTACCTACCCAAAAGGGCTGAACCACAAAACGAAAACGAGATGATAAGATTTCCCAAAATCCCGAATTCCCCGGAATACCCTTGGTGGCAGCTGTCCCCAATTTATCGAAGCTACGTGGAAGGAGACCCAACTTCGGAATTCATCAAAGATGGCTTATCCGCCAATATGGCGAGCTGGGGAATCGTCATCAACTCGTTTTCCGAGTTGGAACGAGTTTACTTTGATCACCTTAAGGAAGAGCTACGCCATGATCGTGTGTTCGCCGTTGGGCCTTTACTCCCTCCAAACAATAGTACAATCAGCAGAGGTGGGTCCAGCTCAGAGGAAGTCCTATCATGGCTCGACACGTGTGCATCTCAGTCGGTGGTGTATGTCTGTTTCGGAAGTCAAGCGGTGTTGACCAACGAACAGATGGAGGTGGTGGCACTGGGTTTAGAGAAAAGCCTCGTAAACTTCGTCTGGTCGGTGAAAGAACCCACCGCCGGACACGTGACAGGAAAATACGGCAAGATTCCGGCTGGATTCGAGGAACGTGTGGCCGGTAGGGGTGTTGTTGTTAGAGGGTGGGCGCCGCAGGTGGCTATACTGAGTCATGACTCGGTAAGTGCGTTCTTGACTCACTGCGGTTGGAACTCGATCATGGAAGCGGTAGCGGCGGGGGTTTTAATGCTGACGTGGCCGATGAGCGCTGACCAGTTCTCCAACGCTACTCTGTTGCACGAGTTAAAAGTGGGAATTAGAGCGAGTGAGGGTCCGGAGACTATTCCTGACTCAAACGAGTTAGCCGAGTTGTTTCGTAAATCATTGAGTGATGAGGCCCGGGTAAAGAGGGAGCGAGCGAAGGAATTTGGGAGGGTGGCAAAGGAAGCAACAAAGGAAAATGGAAGTTCATGGAAAGAATTGGATAGATTAGTCGCCAATTTTGTCACATTAAAGGAATGAGTGGACCAATTTAAGTTAAACAATATTGTAAAAATGGTCACTGTGGGTATTTATTTTCATTTAATTTAATCCAAAAAAAGTTGAATTTGTTGGGGGTCTAATTTTTTATTTATATTTTCGTATTTTTACATTTTTTTTCTGTTTATTTACATTTTTTTTAATTATATAAAATAAGAAGTCCACATCCATGCCTTCCTACCCTACCTCTCTTTTTCTTTTGCAAATCCATCTCTCCTACAAATCCATCTTATCAAATCATGACATGAAAGTGGCGCATTAATATCTTTGAGTCATTATAGCGTTTTTCAAAACATGATTTAAGAATTAAGACGGAAATTTTACATACGTATAATACCTAAAAATAGATAAATCACATAACTGTCCAAAATGACCCAAAACCTCAATAATACATTGATTGATATGATATATATATAAACAAAAATACTGGCTGTCTTAATCCTAGTAGTATATATGTGTGGTAAGGTACAGTTATATGAGATTTCCACAAGTTTTACCTATATATAATATTATATAGCCTACCAACAATATCAAATGAAAGGATGAAGCGAAGGTATAAAAAAGAAAGAAAGAAAGAAACTAGCACTACAAAATTGCTCCCCTTTCTTGAATGGATGATCATTGACCCTATGTATGTGAAGTCAGTTATTTTTGGGTGGATGAGACCTTGGGACATGGTAATCAGAATTAAGAGCCATGTAAGTCGAGCTCATTTTGACATGATGATCATCATCATGATCTTTATGATCTATCTTCTTGCTTCTCTTGGTCATTTTATGACCACCTTTTCTAGGGTTTCCACTTGAAGAAGACGAAGCTTTCTTTGAAACCATCTCGTCACCATTTATATGTTGTTCCTCCGCCTTCTTCACCAGCATTCTCCTACCATTTATCTTTCCATTTACCAATGTTCCAGCACTTGCAGAAACTGCATACAGGGTACCCTAAAAACAATTCAAATATAAATGTCCTAAGTCAGTTGTAATATACTTTATAAGTTGTAAGCATGATTAAACCAAATTTCAAATTACAACATTTGGACGTTTTGAAAGAACAAATTGGCCAATCTAAGTGCCATGATTTAATAACTAATTCATACACAAAATTTTGCTAGCTAGTGTCCTCAATAAAGATGCATTTAAAACAGAGGCGCTTGTTTTTTTAAAGGAGAATATACCATAAAACATTTTTGGTGACTCGAATTTTGAAATGAAACCATAAACATGCGTTCATGTAGCATTCCATGGTTAAGTGAGCAAAATTCACCTTTTCTTGTCTGGACAACAAGGGCCTGTCTTCTTCTGCAGATTTATCTCCAACCACCATCACCATCTCAGCATCTACAAAAGTTCAAACCGAAACTTAAGCACTCTAAAGGGATATCATAATTAGTTGAATTCAAAAGAAAAGATTGTTTGAGTAAGTGAAGTTACCTTGAAGAGAATATGCAGCAATGTTAAGTAACATGAATATGATTGCAAAGACAAAGATACGAAACCTTATGGAAACCATTTTGTTCTTTGTTTCTTTCTTTGCATGCATACTTTTAAGAACAAAAAGATATGGAGAAAATGGAATGGGAACGAGAGCATTGATAATTTATAGACCCAAGATTCAAGTCAAAGTCAAAGATATATTCTTTAACCTTTAGCCCATTAAAATATATAAAAGTGGGTACAAGCAGCACTTTTTTGGAGACCCAAATTCATTTATTTTAACTCAAACTATTGGATTAATAAACAAAATGAAGTTAAATATTGGTTTCACATGATGGTTGAGACAATTGAGACAACTGAATAAAATACTAAGTTATTTAATACTAATAGTCATGTTTATAAGCAGATCTTTGAATTATTATTTAATAATGACAAACACAAGACAATATACTATATACCAAGATAATAAATTTAATAATTTGAGTAAATTCATAGAAAACAAAACTGATCAACATCGCAAAGTTGAAATGACAACACTGGTATATAATTGTAAATTTTGCTTAAAATCACTAACTTATTATTTATACCCGTCGTTTGGCGAGGGTAAACAATTAGTATATATATATATATATATATATATATATATATATATATATATATATATATATATATATATATATATATATATATATATATATATATATATACTAGTCGTTTACCTGTGGCAAGCGACGGGTATGAATAATTTTTTCAAAAATTAGTTTTTATTGGGGATTAGTTATTTCAAGCAAATACTAAAAGATACCCTTGTCAAAAATCGGCCATCGAAAAATTTTCAATTATGTTCGGTTTTAACCATTCACCAGGACTCTTTTAGGTTACCCGGTTTGCCAAACTACATTTGAAAATGCATTTCAAAATCATCAAAATCGAAAGAAAAAAACCTATTGTTTTTTGTGCCATTCAATAAAAATTCAAAGGTTACCATTTAAAAAAATGAAATTGAAAGCATAGTGTAGCATAGTGTCTTTACGGGTATGCTTTATTTTATGTTGTATTGCAACCTATACTCACATGTTATAAAAAAATATTAATTTAAATTGATTACTTACAACCTAAACTATGAATGAGAAAAGTTTGTTATGTAATTGTCATTATGCTATTTTATAGTGTAATTGAAACGATCCCAATAAATATGGTCACTGAAACTTTGGTTTGAGGTGTTTCTAAAAACCTGGTGACATATAACATGATTGATACTATTCTAGATACAAAAAGTTTGAATACAATGAAATAATTGAAATATGATACTACAAATTAATTGATAAAAAGATAATGACGCACCAGTATCAAAAAATATCATCCTAAAGAATAGTAGAAGTAATAGCATTTATTCTTTGGAAACTATGCTTAAAACACAAAATTCATCTAATTAGAGAGCTCTTAACATTTAAGTGAAGTTGCTTAAATGTACGTTTAACATAAAATAAGAAAGCAAACAGAAGCACTAAGCCTTAATCCCAATATTCAATTTTATTATTTACTAAAATCATTATACATTCAAGAGTCAAACCACAAACAAAATTGCAAGAAAATAGCCTTTTCAATCAGAACCTTTACTTACTCTGTTTATAAAAAACAACAATATACACACGTTTATTTACCAATTATAGCAACCTACTTACTATTTTTACCAAAAATCAAGCAATATACTTACGTTTATTTACCAATAATAGAAATGTTGCTTACTTAGTTTTGCCAAAAACATCAACATACTTACATTTATTGATCAATAATAGCAATGTACTTACTCTTTTTTACCAAAACAACAATAAACTTCCATTTATTTACCAATAATAACAATGTACTTAACATATATATATATATATATATATATATATATATATATATATATATATATATATATTAGGTTCAAGTGAGACGGCCTAATTTTGTAAGACTATGAGACGCATTTTTTTATTTATTTTTATATTTTTTTTAATTTTCTTAAATTATTTTTAGTTAATTTAAGTTCCGAAAATAATATTTAAAAAAAGAATTTTTTGATTTTTTCATTTAATTTGCATTTTAAAATTATTTTTAGAATATGTACAGTGTAATATTCTATTTAGAATATTTCACGTATTTTTCAAAAAAAATGGAATTTTTTTTTTATTTTTTTTAGTTAATTCAAGTTCCGAAAATAATATTTAAAAAAAAAAGAATTTTTAGATTTTTCCATTTATTTTGTATTTTAAACTTACTTTTTAGAATATGTCAGTGTAATATTCTATTTAAAATATTTCACGTATTTTTCAAAAAAAAAACGGGATTTTTTTTTATTTTTTTATTTTTTTTATTTTTTTTGGTTAATTCAAGTTCCGAAAATAATATTTAAAAAAAGAATATTTTGATTTTTTCATTTATTTTGCATTTTAAAATTATTTTTAGATTTGGTCTCACGGTCTCACAATATTAGAATGGTCTCAAATGAACCTGAACCTATATATATATATATATATATATATATATATATATATATATATATATATATATATATATATATATATATATATATATATACACACACATATATATATTATCAAAAACAACATGTAACTACTAATAGCAACATTCAACTAGGTACTGGATCATTCCACTGTTGTAGCTCAAATCTATGCAAACAAAAAATAAAAAACTATGAATAAGTAATATATCACATTTTTTTAATTATTTCATTTATTTTCACACAGATTATCTAATCAACTTACAAATTAGTAAATTATTAGGTCAAAAATATGGTTTATACTTTGCTTTTCTAGGAAAATATATTTTTATGTAATGTTGTATCTGTTTGCGGTTTGTGTGTACGGCCGTACACAGGGTATGCGGCTGTACACACGAGTACAGCTAGAGGTTCATATAAATAGATGTAATGGGTAGAGGAGTGTAAGGCCAAAGAAGAGAGAGAAAGTTAGAGAGAAGAAGTGTGTGAGAGAGAGAAAATCTATTGTAAGGAGCATCACTCAATTTCATTAATACATCATAGATTCATCTTCTTCTTCTTCTCCTTCTCTTCTATTTGATCTGACATCATCCAATGATTGGGATTCCGCACCATCAACTGGATCTGATTGATACACAAGCAATTTTGGGGACTTACAATTGGTATCAGAGCTTGGATTGTATCAATCAATTTTGTCAGATCTGGAGCTTATTTGATCTTATTTTAAAAAGATAATAGCGTTTTTGGATAGATCTCTGAAAATTAGGGGGGGTTCTTCTTTGCATTTTTCATAAAAACGAGTTTTTGATCGAGTTTTGGAGCAAAAAAAAGGTTAAAAACGTCGTTTTTTTTTCGTGAATCTGTTGAAGGTGTGCGGCTCGGTGTGCGGCCAGGGTCCGAAGTTCGCATTGTGTACATTTTTAAAAAAAATTAAAGGAATTTTTGAGGCTCCCAAGACTCAAACTTGGGACATCTAAGTCATATAACAGACATCTTACCACTTGAACTAGCAAGGAACAGGGTCCGAAGTTCGCATTGTGTACATTTTAAAAAAAAATTAAAGGAATTTTTGAGGCTCCCAAGACTCAAACTTGGGACATCTAAGTCATATAACAGGCATCTTACCACTTGAACTAGCAAGGAATACATCTATCGTATTCTTTTATTAGATTATATTGTCAAGAGTTTTGGAGCTGGAAGGATTCGAACTCAACTCTCTTCCCTATTCAACCGACGCGCTTTCCAGTTGATCTAGATTAACACACATTACTAGACTTCGTGATTTAACTCAAATATCATATCTTCGATCTTATTTTCGCATTTTGACACTTTAAACCCAAAAATCAATTTCTTTTATTTTAAAATTACATTTTCAACCAAAAGTTTTAGATTTTAATTTTTGACTTTTGACCTTAAAATTTTGACTTTGACTTTTAAAATTTGACCTTTGACTTTAAACTTTGACTTTCTCATTTGACTTTTAAATTTTCAAATTTAGCTTTTCGGTTTGACTTTTAAGTTTGACTTTTTGCATTTGACTTTTAAAGTTGACTTTCTCGTTTTGTTTTTAAGTCAAAGGGCAATTAAAAAAAATAAAAAGATAATAAAAAATAAATAAATAAATAAATAAATAAAAAGGAAAATGAGTTCCACATCAATTCAGGTAAATGAATCCGGTTGCTCTCCATCTTGTGCTAAAACTATGAAATTTTTGCGAGAATCAATAGATCTAATCAAGAGAGAGAACGAGGACTTAAAATACGAAGGATATCAACTCAGAAAAGGACAGAAACCCCTGAAAGCACAATTAGAAGCCAAAACTAAGGATTTCCGAAAGCTCCAAGAAGATTACAGCAACAAGTGTGAAAATTACGATCACATTAAGAAAAAACTTGTTGCTGTAACTGAAGAACTTGACGCTTTGAAAATTAAGTATGGAAAAACAAATATTAGTTTCAAAAATTACACTGCGTCAAGTAAGACAGTCGAGTCCTTATTTGAAAACCAATTAAAATTTAAAGACAATCAAAACAAGGGTCTAGGGTATGATAGTGTTCCTTTACCTTTCAATCATAACTATAACACACTCCTTGAGACCAATGAGGAAGAAATGCCTGCTCCGTATGGCGAAACCCCTGCTCAAGCTTCAGTTAAGACTGAACAATTAGGGCCAACTGAAGGTGTTGAGCTGAATGATACTAATGCATCTACTTCATGTGCAGGTAAAGTAGCAGAGGATGAAAACAATGAGAGTTCTACTGAACAAACAAATAACCCCTTGAACTCGGAATCTGTTGCTTCTAATCAACCTGATGTTGGTAAATACAGGCCACCAAATCAAGTGAAACAACCGACTTGCTGCAAGTGTGCTTGTGGGAACAATCAGAAACGAGGCAAGGATACACCACCAGGGGCAGGAAGAAACAACTTCACAGTGAAGAAAAAGTCTTGTTTTCACTGTGGAACACCTGGACACATTGCCCGAAACTTTCCTAATCGTGCATACATTCCCGACTATGCACAAAGGTGGAAAAACGCGCCAAGAGGGAGATTTTCCAAGAGAAACCCCTTAAGGTCACAATCTTGAAATGGCGACTGGAATGCCAACAAGGGAAAGA